CCTTTCCAGTATTGTTCAGTCTCCAGCCTTGGTGGGTCTGCTCTGTTGTTATTACCCTGCCATTGAGAGTACACCTTAGCTGGTTGAGTGAGAAGAGCGGTTAATCCTTCTGGATTCATTCTCCCTTGTGTATCTCTTTAGGCGGCTGGCCAAGGCTTGGAGCCTCTGTTTGGCAGTTTCAAGTGCTTCAGGTATGGGCATCTGACTGTACTTTCTGGGTACTGGTCTTTTCATTGTACCCTTGTGGAGCTCTGACAGTTGGCTCACTTCCCTCCTTGTTACCTTGATTTTAGCCTCTAACCGTCTTTTCCATGGTGGGTATTGGGTCTCATGGTTGCTCTTATAGCCAAGTATCTCAAGGATCACTGATGCTGAGTTGTAGATCAGCTCATTGGTTTCTGTTATGGTGTTGGTAGGGATCGTTCTCAATGCTGCATTCACATTCTCAATGAGACTTTCTGATGGTACTTCACTCAGCCGTTGTAATTGGCGCCGAGGAGGCCTGGTTGTCATTCGGGTCATGATTCTCTCTCTCAGGTCAGCAGCTGTCTCGTTCAGCTCTGTTTCGCTCATTGGGGCCGTGTATCCCCTCACTGGGTGGGGACTTGTAGTTAAGTCCCCACAGTTCTGACATCCGGGTTCCTCTTTTTTGCCGTAGCATTTGTGTTGTATCTCATCAATCTCAAGTTGTGATAGCAGTTGCCGTTTGCGGATGTTGGAACACTGAGCTACTAGTTGTTTAGCGCTTAGTGTTGACTGGGGATGTCGAAGTAACCATTCCTTCCCCAGTCTTTGCATGTAACCTCTCTCACTAGGGTTACTTGAGTAGTAGCATTCCAACAGATCCACATTTTCATCTCTCGCCCATTTCCGTCTTGTTCCAGTAGCCCATTTGTCATCAAGGTGCTCTGGTTCCCCAACACCTGACGCAGACCTTGTTTGGCGACGTCTGAGCCGGCATGTTACGCAACTTAGTATCTCTCATGGTATGAGGTAGGCAGTAGCTTGAAGGGTCTTGCCAAAGGACCCAGACTGGATTCGAACCCTGCCCTCTCGGGTGATATACTGATGCCTTATGTATTGAGCTATCCAGTCAATTGACTAAGTACGCGAGGATGAGCTGAGTGAATCTGAGTCAGAACCATTATGTTAAACTTAATGTTGATGTGTTTATTACAGGCGTGTCTATGGGACAGTTATGTATCGGTTCAACACGGGACGCATATTTAACGGCCAAATATGGGACGACTCCCTATTTTACGGGATGGGCGGCGATCCTATTCAGGGTTGCTGAGATACAGTTTTAAGGGCGCTGGAGCGGAAAACCACAAACGCAAAAGTTCAATCACATAGAAATCTACTGTTAATCTCTTCATGTTAAATAAATAAAAAGTATGACTTATTATTGAAGTATTTAGTCGTTATTTCAGCTTGACTCGTTCAGAACTGATCTGATCGTTTCCATAACAACGATCAGAAGCGAGACCTTGCCTCAGACCTCCAGTGACCTCACTGATGAGGTCATAAGAGACATCATGTACATCACAATAGATCAAAGAAGTTCTAAAGTTCTAAATGTCTTGCGCGCCAACACTGAGCCATAAAGTTCTGTCAGACAGTCAAATCAGCAGCAACAAAAATGTCGAAGTGCTCCAAGAAAATCCATTTTCCGTGCCTTGAGCCACAAATCTCACTTGACTCCAGTGATGAAGACTTGACTAAAGTACGCGAGGATCACCTGAGTGAATCTGACTCAGAACTGGAGCAGGAAGCCAAGATAATTCCTGTGACAGTGGGGGAAATCAAGAGATGCAGAGACGGCTGCAAGATTCCTTGGAAGAACAAGAGCTGCTAAGGAAGAAGGTTGCAGATAGTGAGATACACATAGAAGCACTGAAACGGGAATTGAGAAAAGAACACCAAAGACCTCAAAGAAAAGTTGAAGATACATCACCTCCGAATGACAATGACTCTGTGTGGAACACTTATTGGAAAAGGTTGTCCCATCAATTTGAAGATTACTTTGGAGATGTACTCGTCCAGCCAGAGGACCCAATTGCAAAGAAAGAGGACAAACTGAGTCCCAAGAAGTTAGAAGAGAA